ACTAAATCCAAATGGTTTACTCGTCTCCTTCATCGAAACAGGAAAGACAAAAGATTTCGTACCAACAAACTTCCATTCATGACATTAGATATGATCAAGGATCCACTAATGTCTGATGAGACGATGAGATTTCCTGTGCAGGAGATATCCATGGACTGTATAGCAGAATCATGAAGATCACGTATTTCAGCCACCGGCGACAGAAAAGTGGTGTTAATATCAGATGATTCAAGATGTAAGGAGTTCTAGAATAAGTCTCATCGTAAAGGTTTCAAGCCAAATAGAACTCAACAAAAAAAGCGATACAGTACCCACACATGCTTGCTGCACAGAGACTCGAATGGAAGTATCGGCACAAACGTATTCATCTCCCTGCTTCTCCACATTAGCAAAAACTGATTTCTCACCATGTCTGCGAAGTCCAATAAAAAATTGTGGACGAGGCATTTCTCTGGAACAACCAACAACTAGGAGCGCAATCCTTGTAGCGTTTTGTAAACTATAAGGTTTGAAGATAAAATTAACAGTAACCTTTTAATTTAAATTGTTTAGAATATTTCAGTGAATGGATTCAGTCCAAAGTAAGCATAATCGATTACATAGGAAGAGAAAAGTGTAAAAGTGCTCCTTGTTAGCTTAAATACAAGGGAACTGTAGCAAAATCAACTTGCTTTAATGCCAGATCCCAATCAGGTTGGACAAGGGCAGCGTTTTCCTTGACAACTTGATTTTCCGTCTGCACCTCGTCAACTTCCATTGTTTTGAATCGACTGAAAATAAGCATTTCTGTTCGTAGCGATTGCTGAAGGCCCTATTAAAAAAGGTATGCATTATGTTCCCTTGGTGGAGAAAAGCACTATCGCAATGACTCGAAAATTAAATGTTGTTCGCTGAGCGAGGTAGGATTTTGGATTAGAAAACTATGAGACTACGGTAAGCAGAAAATAAAGGCCCAAATAAAATAAACTGCCCCAAAGTTCTATGAGGTTAGTTGCTAGCCGACCTTGCTTATCACATTTATTCGCGCAATTCTTACAGAAGAGATACAGAGGTACCATAAAAGGTCAAAATCGCAGATTCGTGTGGAACTCTGCCTAGGAAGGTTTTTTACTATGCTAATCACTGACATACTCATTCCGCATGAGCACTTTTTAGTGCATACTGTGAGTTTATGATTAGTAACTATCTCACCATAGCTTGCGTTCTCAGATAAGATAAATGCTTGACCTTCAGCTAGAGCAACCCTATGATGGGTTTGAACAAATTACGATTTCGTTTTTCAAGGTCTACTTTCTATGACTTTAGTATCGGCCGCTACTATGAGGATGGTATAACACTCAAGATCAGCTATATGGCACATTAGGTACCCCAATTTTCTGTTGATAACCCGCACCCTGGAAAAAGGACCAATTTTCGTTACGTGTTGCCCACCTACGCGCAGCGAGGCCTAAATAGATGCGGTGCGCACAGCTGTAGGAATAATACAATACCATATTGAGCACTGGGACGGTCGCACTTTGATCCTGCGCCCGATAGAGCTTCGAATACCTACAGGATGCCCCTCGGTGCGCCGCATCCCTATAGTAGGGCCATACCGTGATATATGTGCAAGTTCTGATCAGCATCAAGTCAACCCCATCGTTTTGGAGTTTTTTGAGACACTGAGGAGG